CTCAAGATTTATCGTATAATCACAGAGGTTTATATATCGGTATAGACCACCCTCTCCTCCAAATTTGCTGAGACTGGACCTCCGCAATGATTGGGATATTCACAGACTTGTGATCCAGGAATGAATCGACCAAGTGTAGTAGATGGTAGGATTACAATAACATTTATTGTAACATAAAAGTTAAAACAAACAAAAGAAAAGTAATAAAAATAAAGCAGTGGAATGAACGGCTTGTAGTTTATAGCTTGGCCTCGTGGCTAATTCATATCAACTTTGCCTCCCCGCCCTGCTTAACTCCAGTCAATATGAATAACTACATCACTTGGTTCTAAATTCATTAATTCATTAGGACCAACAGACATACTAATGCATTTCCACTGGAAGAAATCTCTGTGATGATATGATAAATCTGGAACCATGTCAGGACTCTTTGCTCTTGTAAGTTACCATTCCTACCACAGTACATGGAAGACCAGACTTGTCCTATATTACCTTTTTGCCATTATTGCAATTGAGTGTTATTTGTTGGATTTATTTGTTACAATATTAACTATTATTGTTATATATATACCATCATCCTGAGATGATTACAGATTGAAAAGCTGATAAGTATTATTCTCAAGACGCGTAGACAATCTCCCACATCGGAAAGTTCTTGTGTATTTTAGGATGTGTATGAGTATTATGCTTCACTGCATTAAAGGAAGACTATAGTGTTAGGAATTCAAAGCTGTTTTATTTTGGGGGGTTTTCCGCATATGATACAAAATTTCTGTGATGTGCAGGGTGACGATATGTTTTTAGGGATATCTACAGGTAAATATTTGAAATGGGTTAGCCCCCAACAGAGATCCTGGTAAGTGGTGGATGGGGGACTAGTTTTAGGTTCTAGGGATAGATCACTGAATTCTGATTTAGTAGGTTTGGAAAACCATTGCTCTGCCATATCAACTTATGAGGTCAAGGACATGTGAAAGGAACTTTTTGGACAAGAAATATGTTGTCTGTGTACGCTGTAAGTTTCACAGTATTATTCTGAATTCTAGTCAATGTAATGGCCATGTCTCTATACAGGATCCTAATAAGCAAAGCGAGTGCTAAGTTGAATAGCAGTAGGGATAAAAAGCAACCCTGGAGTGCCACCTGCCCAGTCATCAGCAGTCCAGAGTCCAATCCATTGGTTGTAAAATTGTGATTTCTAATCAAGTTGAAGAAATGAACATCAAAGAATTTGTATTTGAAGACCGTGGTAATGTGAGGCCAGGACACAAGGCCAAATGCATTCTGTAGTAGAGGCTGAGAAGCATGGTTTGTAAAGCTTCACACATATATATATATACAGTTGCAAGAAAAAGTATGTGAACCTTTTGGAATGATATGGATTTCTGCACAAATTGGTCATAAAATGTGATCTGATCATCATCTAAGTCACAATAATAGACAATCACAGTCTGCTTAAACTAATAACACACAATGAATCAAATTTTGCCATGTTTTTATTGAACACACCATGTAAACATTCACATTGCAGACTGTGATTGTCTATTGTTGTGACTTAGATGATGATCAGATCACATTTTATGACCAATTTGTGCAGAAATCCATATAATTCCAAAGGGTTCACATACTTTTTCTTGCAAATATATATATATATATAATCAATGTAAATTTAATACCTTGGATTTATTTTCTGCCGCAGACAAAGCCAAGCTCTTGTGGGTCAAAATAATTTGTAGTTTGACAGTTTCTTTGTCATTATTCATCAGTGTGATAGATCTATAAAAACTTCCAGGTCTTAAGCCTGTTCGGGGATCAACATTGTTATATCTTTGATTAAAGTGAATAGCAAAACCTTATCAAAATAGATATCAAGGGAGTGACCAGATGAAACTCCTTAGGTTTATAGAAATCGGCCTTGGGGGGCCTTACCCGATTTGGAAGATAAGATGAACCCCTTTGCCTCGTGTTCTGAAATAGTGTCATTCACGGTCTCACGTTGTTCATGTGTGAGTCAATGTATATTGGCTCCCCTCAAAAGATCAATCCCTGCTGAAGCATACAGATGTGAGAGATATTCTTGGAACATAATATGGGTTAGAATGTGTATGTGCCATCAACTTGTTTAAGTTTATCAATGTAGTATCCTTTAACACTTTGACTATATGCTTCAATATCTTTCTGGATCTGTTCCACTTCCTGGAAAAATGTATCTTCATGAATTCCAATTGGGATTTGCCCCATTCTAAGCAAGTGTCTGAGTAGTTTGTCTTGTTATTTGATGAGAAGTCAAAAAAATCTTACATGGTGGTGTGTGAGACAGTTGTTCAAATGATCATACAAGGCAATAATCTCTATTTTATTTTTGACGCATAAAAAATATATTTTTAAACACGATCTTAAACTTTTGCCAGAAAAGGAGAGGGTCACATGTATTGTGGGTTCTCGTCAGTATAGTTTGCCAACGCTGTTTCTAACATTGCTGTGATTGGTTCTCTGTTACAGAGATAAGCAAGATATGTATGTTTCACACTTCCATGGAAAGGGAGGGCCCAGGTTCAACACCAGGTCTTTCAGGGAGTAGTCAGATATGGTACTGTTCTGTATCTAGAAGTCAAGACAGGCAGACAGGTATGAGGATATCATAAAGAAGTCAGTACAGTTGATACATTGTGTACCCTAGATTTGTGCTGTGGGTTCTATGCACACTGTATGTTTGGCGTTGTTGAAGTTAATGCCCCTAACCTCAGATGTGGATGCGGAAACAATGCAAAGGGACCTGTTCAGAGCATCACCCTTGTGCTTATATACGCCTTGATGATAGTGATGGCTCATAGAAGAAACAATGATTTCTATTAAAGTTGCAAAAAATACACAATTAACTGTGTTGGGGACATATATATTCACCGTTAAGTAAGATATGAGGACATGGAAACTATGTATCTGCCCTCGAGGTCAAGTACCTGGGGAATGAATTGCGGTACACGTTTCACTTTTGTTGTGAAAAAAGTGAAACGTGTGTGAGGATAATGTAGTGTTTTTCTCCAGCAGTGTTTCAGCAGATAAGAGAATTACGTAGGAGGCTAGTATTACGTAGGAGGCTAGATTTACATATTTAGTGCTGAAACTTGTGTGTCACTGTTCGATTTTGCATTTAGTGTGAAAGCTCTCTTTTTCCTGGTAAATTGCACTGGAAAGTTTTGAAAACATGAGGATCTTGGACGGAACGGACAGTTCATGTTGTTTTCTATAGGCCTTAATTATCCCTTTTTACCTGTGTAATTCAGTGGATGAAAGATAACTCGTCCTGGCCTTTCTTTAGATGTGTGAGGCTGAGCCTGTGTGCCCTCTGAATCAGAAGTGGGCAGTCACAATCATACAAAGCACTTCAAGCAACCACAAATGTAATAATGGCTTTAAGGTCTGCAGTTTGATTCTGGGAGACAAGTATACGTTTTTGTTTTTCTTTAGATTGTGTTTCAACCTGTTGCGGTGAAGACAGGTGTCTACATAGTGGCCTTGCCTTTGTTTTTTACCACTTTTTTAAATTATGTCCGTGATTTTGGTTAAAGCGCCATCAATAAGAGCTTTAATGTCGGTAGGTTTAGCATAAAATTTCCACCATAATCATGCTGAGAGTTTGGCTGCAATATTGGTGATTTGGTCCAGTTGTGCCATAGGGAAGGAAGGAGTGTATAACCCGGAATCTATGGGTATGGGGCTGGAATGTCCTCTGATTTAAGTCTTGGCTTGGATTTAGATATTATTTTTTAAATTTTTATTAACCTTGGGATTTGGTTTGTTCAAGTTCACTTAGTGTTAATATATTTATTTATTTTATATGGGGAGTATGAAGATTGTTTACTGACCAAAACAAGAACAGTACATTGATAGCAGGGTATAGCGGAGTATATCTGACATGTGATTAGCATTCAGTCATTGAAAGGAAAGGAGGCCACATGTGTGAATTAGGCCATTCCTAAGTGCGGCGTTAACTTGCCAAATAATTAAGGCCATAAATTACATGTGGTCAGTAAAGGAGATTCTCCTGTCTTTTATGTTGTATGTTCTTAAAGCCTTTATACAATCTACATTCTATGAAGATTGTCCCATTCCAATGTCAATGAAGTGCTGCTGTTAGTAGTGAAGTCCCTAAGGATTACTTACAGGGTTCAGAAGCAAAAGAATGTGCAAAGTTGAGAGCTTATAACTTATTAACTGTGCAGTTTACAAAAGCTCTTGTCATGTGTAACCCTCGCTATATGGCTCTCTTCTAATAGCACTTTCTCATATATATGCCAGTTGTCATTGCAGTTTTGTGTTGAACTTGTCAGGCATACTTTCCTATGTGCCGGTCCTGAGATGGGGCAGATCTATTGTTCTGTGGCTAGTTGTTTTAAATGCTGCAATATGAAGGGAGTGTACCTTTCTGTGTTTTGTTTTCCCATATTAAATCTCTGCAGCACAACTGTTCCCCTGTGAATACAGCCGCTGCAATGGAAGTACAAATTGACTTGGTGACCACCATAATCCGTAGGGCCATTAAGGTGCCATGACTCTCTTCAGTCTGTCTAGTACAGGTATAGGCAACCTTTGGCACTCCTTTGTTGTGGACTCCAACCTTTGTTGTGGACTACATCCCCCATAATGCTCTTACAACCATAATGCTGACAAAGCATGAAAGGAGGTGTAGTCCAAAACATCTGGAGTGCCGAAGGTTGCCTATGCCTGGTATATAACTTCCTAGTATATAACTTCCTGAGAAAACAAAATACCGTTTACATCGTCCAGTTAACTGTTTACCCTTCTTTTACCATAGATTTTAATTGCTTATTCTCTACGATTAGTGCACTTACTGATATCCCCATTATATTGTTATGTATGTCTGCCTTATTTTTCCCAATCTCCTTTACAAAATGCAGACCCAAAGATGTAATTTTTCAAGTGGCTCTCTCACCCCCCTCCCAAAAAACAGGATGATCTCATAAATATAAAATCTTTATGCCAAAATACCAGCGTATTGCAGTATGCAATGATACCTTTTTTATTGGACTAACTTAATATTTAAAAGACAAAGTCTTTGAAATATTATGTTAGTCCAATAAAAAAGGAATCATTGCATACTGCATACTCTGGTATTTTGGCATCTTGTCTACGGGACTAATATGGCTAATCTAATATACACTAAAATCTTTATGAAATGCTTGCAGACTATGTGGGAATCTCACTGAAATATAAGTGGTATCAGGGCCAGATTAAGAGCCCATTGGGCCTGGTGCTGACAATTATGATGGGCCTAGTTATAAAATCTTATCGACAGAAAACACTAAAACATTAAAACAGTCATACTTCCCAATCGTCATGTATCTGGTGGAGATGCATGTCTCGCATTCTGCCTATGCCAATGTCTCGCATTCATCTTTCAAGTAAATCCATTCCTCCTTAACAGCAGTATCTGGTAAAGCAAGGTTTCGGCAGGCGGGGTAAAAGTGTGTTCCACTGACACAAATCACGTAACCAAAACTGCCCAGAGGGGCAAACATGCCCCCATAAAATCTGCCCGAGGAATTAGGTCAGCCTGGAGTGAATACATTAGATACAAAGGTGTATAAATCTAAAGATATATAGATATACAGATGAGGGCGCCACTATCACAAATATGTGGGTTACAATTACCACTTGGTCAGCAGAGATGACATGTAAAAAGAAACATACCTAGTGAAGTATTTAGGGAGCATGTAGCCGACCGCCATGGAGAGCATTGTGATGGCTGCACTGGGCTGCATGGAGTGAGGGAGCAGTGATCTTTCTGCAGCTCCTCTCTCCTCCCTCGCGCTGTGTATTGATGCCTGGAGCCGGAATATGACATCATTCTGGCCCGGCATTACTGCAGACAGTGCGAGGGAGCAGAGAGGAACTGCAGAAAGATCACTGCTCCCTCGCACACAGGAATAGCAGCCCCACTGCACCCCAGGAAAAGTCCACTCAGCTCTCCCAAAGGAGAAGCTGGGTGGATTAGAATTAAAAATATAAATTTGTGAGGGTTAGAAAAAGTGTGTATGTATGTATATATGTCTGTGTGTGTGTGTGTGTGTATGTCTGTGTCTCTGTCAATGAGTGTGTGCGTGTGTATGTCTGTCAGAGTGTGTGTGTCTGTCTGGATACCTGCCCCCCTCCGATCACATGATTGATGTTTTTACGAACCTTTTTTTCCATGCCGTGCTGGTTTCACCGTTGCTTGTCCCGCCTCCATAGCTGAGATCTTAATGATCTCAGCTAAGCCAATGCTTTCCCATACCAAAGCATTGGGAGGATATTACGCATGCTCTCTATGGGTAACATTCAGCGCCTCCATGCAGAGCACTGGCACAGGACTCTCTAGTGGCCATCTGAGTGACTGTCACTAGAGTTTTTAGTAGGCAGCAATGTAAACGCTGCCTTTTCTCTGAAAACAATAATCTGTAGTGGTTCTGGTGACTATAGTGTCCCTTAAATAAACTGACTCCTAACTTTTTTAGCTGGCTCCTAGATTCCAAACAAATTTGTCAAGCTCTGCTTTATAGGTTGCTGCTAGGCTAATATATACAACATACAAAATACACAATCCAGCGCACTCGCTTACTCACTAAACAATGATTTCAAATCTCACCGATTGTAATAGTTTTATTTATAAATTAAAGAGCAGGCGTTGCGATGCTAGAGTAGGACCTGCCAAGAATGGGGTACATTGACGTTGTGGCATTTTAATGCAATATATGATCATATAATGTAACTAAACCCCCACTACTTTTTGCTTAGGTGAGGTGTTTTTAAATAAACCTATTACAATCTGTGAGATTTTAAATTTAGTGAATAAACGAGTGCGCTGGATTTTGTACTTTGTATGTTGTATTTATTGGCCCCAGCAGCACCCTATAATGTATGCATGTTCAGGTGAGTGCAGACCTCTTGGTGTGTAAATATAAATATATATAAAGAAATAGGAGGTAGATTCCAATAATTCAGTAATACTCCTGGCAGGAATTGACAAACTTTTTAATTAGGTTATGTATGATACATTAAAATATGAAAATATTAAAAAGCAAATAATACGTATTACTATAAATATACTCTTTATTTTCTTTTTTCGCTGTGTATTTTTCCCCCGTGAAGGGATTATGGACATGTAGTTTAGTACTCATGAGTGTTTTCATTCACAAAAGGTTAGGAATTGATCTACTTGTACAAACTCTTGCAAACTATTACCTAGGAGCATAGGTAGAATGGAGTATCTGTATTAAAGACCAATAAGGAGGAATGAAAACTTCTCTATCTATGGGACTATATCCATAGCCTTGTTGCAGCATAACAACTACAATTAGCCATATTGCTCTTGGTGCTGTTTTAAGTATCTTTCCTGGCAACTTTGTTATGACTTGGAATGCAGACCTGAATCCAGACCTGCACTGCCTAATGCGTCGGTCCATGCTCCATGCTCCATGCCACCAGATATGTCCAGGAGCTACCACAGCAACTTGATATCTTATGGCTAGCTTCTTCAGTGATCTTGCTCAACCATGAACCAAATATTGCATAAAGTGCTCTTTTCACCTTGTACCCAAACCCTAGACAAGACTAAGTGCAGGTAGAAGACAATACTGGTTTATTTAACACGCAGTATATTTATTCAGTACACAGTGTTACATGAAGACATGACAAAACCAGTGAGAGGACCTTGTGGTAACCAATCGGAGTGCTAGGCAAATACACACCTGTGGTGCCAGTGTCTCTGGGCTAAGCTGAGCAAATGGCTAAGGGAAAGGAGCACATATTCATTGCGGTCATCAGAGGTCAGAGCAGCAAGCTCCAGAGCATTAGCGTCACAACTTTACTTGCGGGGTTTGGTGCTTTGCGGCTGGGTAGTGCTATCCGCAGAACCATGGTAAAGCTCTGGGGTATTATTTACCATATGTACCAGGAGGCTCTGCAGGGGAAGCATGCACTCGCGGTAGGCCACACTGACTAGAGTTACCCAATCAGAGAACCATGAGATGGAGATTTTTTTTAAACTGTAAAACAAGCACACCATTAACTATTTTAGTCTTGCCACACCAAATACAGTAATCCTTTGCAAACTGCACCAGTCCCACACAATGTTAATGCTCTGTTGTCCAAATTGGGTTGTGCTCCACAGAGTTAACCCTTTAAGTCCCAATGTCCACTTGGTGGTTTTTACTGTGTCCTTGGTGATTAACCTGTTAGCGACCCATGGCCAGAGGTTTGTACTGAGATGTTCTGGATGGTTTAATCGGGAGAGTGATTTCTGTCACAAGAGGTCCATAGTTTCTGGGTAAGAGGCTAGTCTGCAAGCCTCTCTGCAATGTTCTGCTACAGTAACTTTGTTAATAAGCATAGAGTTTCCTTGACTTTTTTTACTGAAACAGGTGACCCCCTCAAATAGGTAACTTGAAATGTCATTCTCTATGTTCGTTCTTGCTTCTGTTACATTAACATAACTGCTAATGGTCTCAGATCTGTCAGAACACAAGGGTTATGTTCTCAATCAGACCTGCACTAAGTAAACTCAGGGGTTTCAGCCTATTCTCAGAGCACTTCAGAAGCACTGTGTGTCTAGTTTGCCCTGAGTGGGGCAAGCACGACAGTTTGACAACTTTAATGATGTCTGCCTGCTGCCAGTGTACTCCTCCAAGGAACTTCCATTCACTAAGCTAAGCCCTGCTAAGCTTTCAGGTGAGATCAGCCTGATATGTAACAAGCTAAGGTTCTCTTTTCAATGGCACAATTGAACTGAAACCTGTATGAGTATGGAGCTGGGACTCACCAAAAGGGTAGGTAATTTGAGCTGTTGTCCTTTCTGTTGTTTTTGACTAATTTGCAAATGTCTAGGTTCTCTCTAAATCAGAGAGGTAATCCAGACATGGACTTGCTCAGTGTACATAGGGTGAATCGGCTATACCTCACTGTTGAGGTTTAGTGAATGCCAAAACTATTGTCTGTGATTGCTGTATCCCTTGTGCAGTGGGATCTTGCCAGCATTATGGATGTGTACTACTCTTGTGGATGCGATCAGCCCGATTTGGTTCTCTCTGTAATGGCGCAAGCTATTTAAGCTAGTGTTCATTTTCATTGTTCTCATAAACAATTGTTGACTTTTTACCCTGGGAGGACGCCAGGGCACTTCTGGTATCACTATAGCTGGTTGTAGTGGTTATGGTGCTTGGAGTGTTTCTTTAAATAAATAACTACCCACATACAAGAATCTCCATCACTCCCTAATCAAGACTGAGAGTGGTTCAGATAAACAAAAAACAAAAAATGTCAGTGTAAAATAAGAAATTAATAAGCAACTCCAGAAGAAAGCATGAAGCTTGATGTATTTTGTTCTGTGGGAGCCTAGTATTGTGTTGGTGTTGGTGTGTTTTTTTTTGTTTTGTTTTTTGTTTTGTTTTTTTGAGAGGGGAGACACATACCATTCAGTTGTAATATGCTCAGTTGGGCACTTTGGAGAAGGGCCCCGCTCTCAATCATAGTAAAATCTATTTCACTTACCTGTAAATCCGTGCCGGGCAACAATTGTAAGGAGAAGATTTTCACATCTGTTGTCAGCGTGCAGCGTCTGTGTGGTTTTTTTTTTGCATAGAATTGACCTGTAGGCTGCCAGTGTTACGTGTGCTGGGGGCAACGAGCCCCCAGCACACAATTACACATATCTCAGTTTGTGCAGTGTTTCAAGCTGAAACATTTAGAATTAGGTTTTCAGCAACACTGAACCTTGCAGGCTGCACATTTCTTATTATAGGTGAACTGATAAACAATTGACCAGTTACATTAGCAAAACTGTCACATCATTTAGCTAAGTATTTGGAAAAGATATAACAGCTTACATTATTCACTGATCATGAATTGACAATAGATTTGCAAATGTTAGATAAAATAGGGAGGGGGCTGGATAATTGTAGCCTAAATTGCAATTCCCTTTAGTAAATTATCGTGCATGTTTTTCATTTAAATAGCACTGTGCTGCAAGCATTTTTTGAATATTTACTATAGAAAATGTTGAATGTTCCTGTTTCTGGCTTAAATAATTCTCCCTTATTATACAAGCATTTGTCGACCCCTGCAGAATCCTGTGCCAGCAAGAATAT